CTAAAGGTTAGGTAGAATGGTGACCTGTCCACCTAGTAGCAACTGAGATTGACCTAGAGCTCCTGCGACACTGGAGTGGATAAGCTGTGGTGAATTGATGGAAGTTTCTCAGAGTGTTGAAGACTTTGAGTTTTCACATTTTGCAAAGCCAACCAATCATCGAGCTGTAGGTTTAAAGCGCTGAAGTTTAGCCTCATGTTACCTTATTAGCCTCTTCCTCAGGCTGAGGGATACAGCTTATTAAATTAACACTGGTGTCAGATCAGTAACCAGTATCAGCAGATGCCTAAAGCCCTGTATTGAAATAGGAAAAAGGTTAAAAACATTATGGAGGTACAGTGAGACCTCGAGAGCTCCAGAAATGTGAATTTTCCCTCAAACCAAACTTACATCTTTTGCTAACATGGTGTGAAACTCTGTGAAGAAAACCTGACTTTGCACCTTTCTAGATGATGTACAGCTTGCAGTGTTTCCACTCTAAAAGATGGAAAAATAAACATCAGCGAGGTGTAAACGTGGGTCGTCACATACAGCATGGAAGGACAGTAAGAGGGAAATATTACAAGAAAGCAACACTGCTGAGAGAGAAGCAGTTACGTAACAGCGTGTCAGCGCGCCGCTCCGCAGCCGCCTTGCAGACGACAGGAGGGCTGCCAATGTGTGTGTTTGGTTCTCAGAAATATGAAAGGATGCAGTCAGCTCCCTGTCTCCATGGTAACTGCATCTTCCTCCTCATCTGTCTGTACTGCTCACTTTCTTTCCCCGCTATTGTTTTTCATTATTTTTACATTTTCATCATTTCTATTTTTTCATTATTATGTCGCCTCGCTCTCTCTGCCTGTCTGAGAGACCCACTCAGCCTTGTGTCATAACAAGCACACACAGGTGCTCAGGTGCACAAGCCGTTACATAAACAAGCACATATTTATCTTTATGCTTGCATGGCTTGTTGCTTTGATGAAGATGTGTGACATCTGCTGTACCAGACACATATTTAGCTGCTCATTCCACGAATTGCATGTTTTCATAATTTGCCTCCATGTGTGCAGAAATGGAGAAACAAGTCTTACCAGAAAAGTCCACTTTAATTTTTACCTTTGGTATGACTACATATGTTACTGTTGCTGCTAAAGTGGAGTTACTTTTGACTACTGCATATCCAGTTCATTGGCTCCTATCCAAGTGATCATTTTTAGAGGTTATGAAATTCAATCAGTCAATCAAATGTTTATTTCGAACATATAAGCAACAGGTCTTAGTAACCATAAAACCAAACCAAAAACAAAAAATAAATAAACATAAATCACTGAAAGCATATTTACACGAACAAAAAAAACAAATGTTGATGATTTCCTGTTGGAAAAGGAGTCAGAAGAACCAAATGTTTATTCATTCTTGCATCCCGATCTTCACTGTGGGTTGCAGTGGGTAGGGATATCTGGGTTCTGTCACATCTATGTGTTGGTGTTTGGGCTCTAATTTGGGTGGTTGATGGGTGTAGGAGTTTCCTCACTGAGTGAACCACTATACTGCCTGTTTGTATTTGTTGTTGGGTTTTTGTTTTTTTCTTCTCTGGCCTTGCTCGAGTGTTTTGTTTCTGGATGTCTTTTGCCTTTTTAGGTAGAAGAGATGGTAGTCGGGGTTGCTCGTGCCATAATGCTAAACAACATTCACACAGGATTCATGTTAGCTGAATTTGGTAGCTAGAGCAATTGGGTATGTTGCTTAGTTTTCTTAATTAGTCTTATTTGTATTACATAAACAATGAAATTACATTATTCTGTTTTGTAAAAAAAAAAACAAAAGTCCAAATTGCAGACTGTTAATGTTTACAATATGTATATTTAATTAGTTTTTACTTTATTTGATGGAACTTTATTTTTTGTCATTCTAACATCATACTTTAATCATGCAGCACATTTGAATCGGTTGAATCGTGTATGAAACTTAAGAGAAATGTTTGGCAACTGTTTCGGATGATCATTTTACGGTTTCTTATAGTACTGCAATAGTGGCAACAGCAGTTCAGATATTCATTTTCACCCGTCACGCATGAGCATACATAAGTGCAGCTGTCTGCTGTTGTTGCCATATGTTGTTTTTATGCATTTGTTTACTGGTATCTACTGCATAGATAAGTGGAAAGGTGCACATGGGTTCACTAAGCTGTGGGTGTCTGATATGAGTCACGATTGTGGAAAATCCCTCTCTCCTCCTTCCCTGCAACCTGAGGCGATTAGCAAGCAAGCAGTGTCACTCTGCAGCAAGTCCCTCTCCTACAGTGACAAGCAGAGCAGAACAAAGATCTATATATAAGCAAGGCAATATCTATAACTCACTGAGCATCAGTGTGATTACAGTCAGATGGAGGTCACAGCATTTGTGATGAGTCTGCTGTCTTTGCTGTGCAGACTTCATTCGCTCCACTGTGTCTTTGTTATTACAGACAGGGCTGTAGTTGTGTAACGTTAAGTCCTGCTTTTTTTGTTCAGTCTGAACTCTACAAGAGGAGATTTTTAGAGGAAATAATCACATTTTGGTTAAGTGAAGAAAAACTGGTACTGCTTGTTTTGAAAGAGATGAATTACTTGAGGTTACTTTGTGTCGTTTGTTGGTGGTCTGTGGACTCTTTGTGGTTAATTATGCTTGTCTTTAGGATCATTTCAGTAATTAAGTGTGTCTTTGTGTTTGTTTTGTCTCTTAAGTGTTTAATTTCCTTACTTCACAGGGGTGTCTGATATATGGATATTTCCCTTTCCTTGTTACTCATTTCTTTTTTCTTCTGTGTCTCTTCAGGGTTGTTCTGCTTGTGGTGGGGATTATTTTGGTAATTTCAGTCGTCTTTGTGGCCATTTACTGGTGGCTTTTGATCCTTTTTGATTGTTTTGAGTGGTTTGCGTTGTCTTTGAATGGTTGGTTTCTGGTTGTTTGTATCTCTTGTCTCTGATTATTTTGCTTGTCTTTAGGGCCGTTCTGGTAACTTTGTGTTTCTATGAGGCTGTTTGTGGGTCTTTTGTGTATCTTTAAGGTCATTCTGTGGGTGTTTATTGTTATGTTAGATTGGAGCTATTTGGTAATTTGGGGTCTCTTTGGTGAGTTTGTAGTGATTTGGGTTCTTTGTTATTATTTTACACTGTTTAACTGAGCTCTGGTTCTCATTTTGAAGATCACATACTGAAGTGACTTCATAGAGAAGCCAGGAGGCTTTTTGGTGTTCAAACTCCCAGAACTGTGATGGTGGGATTGTAAATGAATCCATTATCATCCATCACATTCGTGAAGAGTACCACTCATAATTGAGCAATCTTTTTTTTTTTTTTTTCTTTTTTTTGCCTGTCCCATTTGGTTCTTTAGTCGTCAGAATTGTTGTCTGAAGACAAACAAGGATACCCAGTGGATTTATTTTGCCAAATGGATCATCGTGGCATTACCTTATTGGTCCATTTGATCGACCTTTGTTTTTATTGTTTATTATATTTTATTTTCAGATGTTGCAGACGGGACAGACATGAGTGAGGGATAGGAAAGGGAGAAAGAAAGAGGAAGGAAAAGAAAAACAGAAGGGAAGAGGGACAGTGAGAAAGGGGGGGAGAAAAAAAATCTCCTGGATCACCTGTTGAGAGAAGAAGAATAGAAAACAAGCAAAAAAAAACAAAGCAACATACTAAACACAACACCATCGCATTAATCTAGCTAAGTGTAAACAGCAGTAAATACTAAATATTCAATGTTGTTGTGCAGCACGCAGGACAGACAGCGCACAATGTGCTTTGAAGTAGCAGCCAAGAAAGGTGTAATTTAAGTCTACGAACAGTGAACACCCGTGTGCACACCTGTGTGGATCAGCGCGCTTGTATTCAAATGGTTTCCACATGTAATGGTCTGCAAGAGGATGTAGCGAGCCATAGCCCCGTCCCCCAGGGCATAATTGAGCAATCTTCTGTTGTCCTAACCCGTATTTTAACATTTTAAATGTCCACATTTTGATAATATCCACACCAAGACTGCAGTAACAAAAGAAAAAAATCAAGCAAAAAAGTGATTTATTCTCAGAACAAGTGATTACAAGTTTTAACCTTTTATTATTTTATTGAATAATGTAATATAGTCAGCTGAATATTCCCAGCTGGAGTTCCTTTGGTTTCTGACAGGGCTCTTACAAAGAAATGAATTCAGCTGCAATAATAGCGAGAAAGCTGCAGGTTTCAAAACAATTGTAAAAACATCTGAATTGCTTTCTTGTGGTGCGCTGCAGCTGACTTACAGGAAATATCCATGTCTGTCTAAAAAGAAGACCGCGGGAAAGAAAAATCACATTATTATGTTTTCTTGATACATTCATCAGTTAATAAGCCTTAATAAAATACATTTTAGCGCTGGAGGTTCAGTGTTACGGTTCATTGAGACATCTAATGAGGGTGAACATAATACCAGGTGAACGCAGATTCAGATTGTCTGCTGTCTATGAACTCAGTGGTGCCACTGGCTTGAACGTGTTTCTGAGAAAAATATTGAAGCATTGCAGTGAAAGCAGAAAGCCGGCTCATCAGTCGAGAGATGCTTGGCCATCTGAAAGAGGTTTTATTTAGAATGAAGAGACTGTCTGAGAATTTAAACTGCTCAATTTCTGCCTGCACAGGCCAAGGACACAGATGAAAATAAACTGTTATTGACTCACTCTGAAACACTGTATTCTAATGGTATTAAAGTAGAAGACAAAAAAATCGAGGAATCAAAGGTTGAGTGAAAGCTGTTGTCACTGCACCGACTTTCCTTCTCGTCTCTTTTTTCCTGCATAAATTATTTTGTACAACACTTTTTTTTCTGCCTTTGCTCTTATCACACAGCCAGACTTTCTAACTTTCTTCATTACCACTTTAAACGCAATTTGGTGTTTCTTCCTCTGAGGGTGGGTTTGAGTAATCAAAGCTACTCAAATATGAAAGTATTAACCATATTTCTTCCCCTTTCTGTCTCTTTCCTCTGATTTCTTATTACAGAAAGTCAGCGAGAAGGTTGGAGGGGCGGAAGGAACCAAGCTAGACGATGACTTTAAAGAAATGGAGAAGGTAATTACCTGTTTGTCTGTGATCTGATACCAGATTTAATCTTAGCTTAGTGTTAAGCGTAGAAGCAGAGAGAAACTGGATCTCTCTTACCTCTGCTGGTAGAGGTTAGCTAATTTAAAAGTTATACTTGTTATAATCGCTAAAATAACCTGGAAGCTTCAATGACAATTTTCTGAGAGAAGGTTTGGTGCCAGAATTCTTCTTGGATCTAATCCACAAAGTAAGTGGGCACAGCAGAGATAGACTAGCATACTTTTGTTTGTTTTGTTTTTTGTTTTTTTTAATTAAACAAGACATACGTAAAGGTAAAGTTTGGTGCTCTAACTACAGCCTAACTGGCTGCTATGTGTTGCTTCACTTTGACCACATATGACTAACTTGTAAACCTGTATTACACCAGCAGATTTTTTAATGTATATCTAAATATATCTAGAAAATATTGCAAAGCTGTATTCAATGTAGTATATAGAGCAACTTTATTACTTGATTAATAACTGATGAGCTGTTGGCCTTCATCGTGGTCATTAACAGAAACAGAGCGTTCACCTTCAAAGTAAAAGTGCACTTTTTAAAATGCATTGGTTTCGACATTAAGCTTCCAATTTGAAGGTGAACATTCTAAGTTTCTAATTTGTAGGGTTGGGAATACACATTTTTCCCCTAGTAATATTTGGTAGAGGGGATGGCAGACCTATCTATAGGCCTATGTCACTGAGGGTGAAGTTGGACCTTTCCAGGTTATGGCTATATAAGGTACCACCCAAGTTTTCTATTGCCAGAGATAATCACTCTGTATGAGTGTTGGTCCCATGTTGTTGTTTTGATTTATTTTTTCTGCTTTATGAAATATCCTTCCAAACATGTTATATGTTTCATAATTACCTTAATGAAGGCCACAAGCCTAAATACACAGGAAGAAAAATAGTTATACTGCATACTGAAAACGTTGCTGGAGCTGCTCTATGCAGTTTGGAAGTAGTTGAAGTTGTTCCTGGACTTTCTACTCTGTTTATACGAGTGAGTATCAGTTGACATGCTGATAATCTGGTGTTTCCCCTGCAGAAGGTGGACGTCACCAGCAGAGCAGTGTTGGACATCATGACCAAAACTACAGAGTACCTTCAGCCTAACCCAGGTATTAAATATACAAAGGTTGCAGAATACTAAAAAAAATTGCAAAACTATTATATTGTAATTCAAATTGTGACTCCTGATGTTACTGATGTTATTTCTGCTTTTTAAAGCATCAAGAGCCAAGCTGAGTATGATCAACACCATGTCAAAGATCCGTGGGCAGGAAAAAGGACCTGGTTATCCGCAGGCTGAGACCGTCCTAGGAGACGCCATGTTGAAGTTTGGACGGGAGTTAGGAGAGGAGTCCAGCTTTGGTAAATGTATACCTGTTAAATGACGTAAGATGTATCAGAAAGTTAACCATTTTTAATTATTTTTTCCAATTCAAGATTAGATAATAGAGGAAAATAGGTCATAAGCAGGTAGCAACCTTGGCAGCTCAGAAAAATTGGCTTTTTGCTAATTTCTCACTTTACTTCCAGGCTTGGCCCTCATGGATGCTGGTGAGGCGATGAAGGAACTCGGGGAGGTGAAAGATGCTCTGGACATGGAGGTCAAACAGAACTTTATTGATCCACTGCAGAATCTTCATGATAAAGACCTCAAAGAGATACAGGTCGGTAAACAAGTAACATTAGATATGTGGGAAATTGAATTTATAATGGTGACATGTTGTTGAATTCTTCTTCAACATGAATCTTAAATTGTTTATATCACATGTTCCTTTCTCATCTATTCCAGCATCATTTGAAGAAGATGGAAGGCCGACGTCTGGACTTCGACTACAAGAAGAAGCGTCAGGGGAAAGTCCAGGATGACGAAATCAAACAGGCACTGGAGAAGTTTGATGAGAGCAAAGAGATCGCAGAGCAGAGCATGTTTAACCTACTGGAGAGCGACGTAAGGATAATGTAATATACGTATTCCAATTCCACCATAACTTATTATTATCAGAGTTGAAGGTAAATATGTTCCTTAGCTCTACAGAGAAAAGTGTTAAATAATCTCAGATCATTAATACCAAAACAGAGTTTTGAAGACCAATCAGAAGAAGAAAATCTAATCATATTGTGCCCTCAGCAAATTAAAAGAAGATTTTATATTACAGCCACAAAAACATGTTCAATGTTTGCTTGTTTTTTAAAAAAAGGGGGGAACATATGAAATCAAATATTAAGGTCTATTCTTGTTACTGACATGTTCCAAGTAAAAAATTTTATGCTATATACAAACATGGAAAAGACAAGCAATCTTGTGCCTTGCTGTGCCAAACCAGTGCCAGCCCAGCGTGGGTATGGAGGATGGGTTTGGAAGAATAAAAACAACAAAAAACACGTTTATGTGTGTGTTGCAGATAGAGCAGGTGAGCCAGCTCTCAGCATTGGTCCAAGCTCAGTTTGAATACCACAGTCGTGCCTCTGAAATCCTCCAACAGCTCTCCAGGAAGATGGAGGACAGGTATCGATCCAGCCTCCTACTCAGGATAGAAATAAAGCTATAAAAATAGACTGTGTGGTTAGATAGAACTTAACTGTGTGGCTTCCTTCCAGGATAAAAGAAGTGTCCAGTAAACCGAGGAAGGAGTACACTCCAAAACCCAGAATGACACTGGAGCTGCTGCCACCCAGCGAAAGCCACAATGGAGGGATACACTCTGCCAAATCCCCAGGAAGATCACCAGGTAGAGAGAGGATGTCAATCTTCGATGTGCAGTTAGATGACTACCAGTATCCAGCTCAGTGGTATCTGTCAAATAATGTCCAGTAGAGATGAGGTATCTGCAGTAGTGTCTTGGTAAGTCAGGATCTGGGATGCCTCATGTAGTCTGAGCAAAAAGACGAGCACATCTACCAGATAGAAGAAGCCGTGGGAGTTCAGATGAGATTTAGAAGAACGGTTTGGCCTACTAACTGCAGGGTTGGCAGTTCAATTCCTAGCCCTTCCTGCCCATGTTGCCAAGTGCAAGGCACTGAACCTTAACATACGATGCATCCTGTAAAAGCGGTAGATACTACAGACTCTACATAAAAGCCTTGAGGAGTGAAATCAGTCCAGCAGTGCATTAACCCTATTTTAAGCAATCAGCAGGGAATAACTCCACCGGTTAAAATAAGTCTGGTTGTATTTAAGAGTATAAGAAAATTGCCCCAGTTCTCAATTGCTTGATGTTTTTAATCTTAGTCGCTATTTCAAAGTCATCTTTAAGAGAGTTTTGTGTTTATTTTTTAATATATATTCCTGATCTGGGTCAAAATTGTCAAAAATTATTTCTGAAAGGCCTATAAACAGACTTATTGGCCACATACCCACTGGTTTGTGAAGTCCTGTTGTGAAGCCTTGTAAATTCATAACTGTGAGGCAAATCGGACTGATTGGCATTGCAAACTTGTGATTGATAAGTCGTTATCTATCTGTCTATCTGTATGTCTAATTTTCAGTCAGACTCCATGTTCAACACCTCAATTGGAAAAACACAGGAACGACATCAGAAATGCTTATCTCAAGGTTTCACAATGAGTCTTCACCATCAAAAAAAGGCCATCACAGTGGCTCATTGCTCTATCTGCCTGCCAGCCCCCCCCCCCCCCCCCCCCCCCCCCCAAAAAATTTAATTAATTAAAGCATGTCAGAAAGGAGACACAAACCAAGCCTCGGGGGTCGCAAGCTAGTGTACTCCCAGTGCTCGGCATCTGGTGCAAAGATGAGTTCCAAATTAGCATGCGCATCCATCCACTGTGGCATCCCCTTGGGAAATTATTTAGCAGCTGAAAGTTTCTTTCTACCTTCCAGAGTAGTATTAGAGTCTGTTAAACTTGTTTCATATTCGAGACAATTTACTTGTATGGACTTGCATGATTTTATTTTAAGTTTAATTATGAAATATACAAAGTTATTTAAAAGATTCCTGACTTTCTCTGGATTTTAGTTGTGCAGGATTTCAAAGTTAGTTAAAATGGTTTTCAGTTAACAGGTGAGCCTTGTCAAACCATTATGTTGATATCCAGCAAATTAGCCCCGTTCAATGCACAGCAAGAAATTCTTAAGTAAAACAAAATAGGCCCCGTATGTAACAGTGTCATTAAGCTAAACCAAAACAAACCAGATAACCAAAAATGCCGCATAGAGAGTGAAACTGACTCACTATGTTTTGCTTCTGTCCATTCACAGCCCCTATGGACCAGCCATGTTGTCGAGCGCTCTACGACTTTGAACCAGAGAATGAAGGTGAGCTGGGCTTCAAAGAGGGGGATGTCATCACCCTGACCAATCAGATCGATGACAACTGGTACGAGGGTATGATCAACGGCCAGTCGGGCTTCTTCCCCATCAATTATGTGGATATTCTGGTGCCGCTCCCTCATTAGGTCCTGTTACCAACCTTCCGCTTCCCCTCGACCAATCCAGACACCCAGAAAACAGCCTGTATTTGCATAAACAACAAACCACGCCCTCCTTCTACTTCTTCTTCTTCTTCTTCTGTGCTTCTGTGCGATTCTGCTTTCACAAAATGGACTGAAACGAGAGAGAAGCCCGAGATGGGATACATAAGATGCGGCAGTAGAACAGCGATTAGAGTAGAAGAAGAAAGGGAGAGGAGGATTATAGCGTGAGAGCTGCATAAGCAAGGGACTGAAAGAGATGAAAAGACAAAGAGATGATGTTCTTTTATAGCGCAGTGCTTGGCCGGGCAGCACAGAATACTGTGAGGTTATGGAGACTTGCGAATAAGGCACGGTGTATATGTACGTGCATGTATGTGTCTGTATGTGCGTTTTGACCTGTTCTTACTGTATTTATGATCAAGCCAGCACAAATTCCTGCTTGTCGGTTTAGCTGCCTGACAGCTTTTTTGTGAGACTGTCTTCTTTCTTCTTTTCTTGCTGTATTTCTCTAAAAGTAACTGTTCTTTCTACCTTAACTTGCCTTCTTGTGCTCTTTTTCATACCTAAATTTTTCAGAAACTGTCACAGTTTTACCAGCTGTCTATCTTTGTTACTTTCTCTTGTCTTGTTATTTTCTTTCATTGGGTAGCACTACCTTTTAGAAAGGCTCCATAGTCCAGATTGTAGACCATCAAAATAACAACCCAGAGCCACAGATCCATAGAGTTTACGATTTAGGTATATTTCAACCTCTTTTTGTAACACCCTCTGCCTTTGCTGACACTGCATAGCATTTCAATTCAGTGGCTGAATGCATGATCCAGCCAAAAAAAGATTGACTGTGTTGAAGTAAGCTTGGTCTTGCTAGAATGGAAAAGAGAACATTTATCCACTTGTTTTTAAACCCATTTATCTTGTAAAATGGAACTTTTAGGTGGGTTTTGAGGCTTGAGGATCAAGAAACTCATTCAACACATCACTAAGCAGAAGTTCAAGTGATGAAAAGGAGAAGTTTGGGTTACTCTTTTTACCAAGCAGCACTGATTTGCCATCACAGCCACAGATGAATGTTATTGAACAGAGCCTTGTTTGTTTTTGTTTTTTATTTGATACACATTTGAACATTCCAGTATGCATAGTGAGAAAGAAGTTTGTTTGTTTTTTCCTTTCTATATACTGTGGTTTCCTTGTACTCTGTGGAGTAGGAGCTTGCTGATTTGTCTAAATATGTGGCTTTTGCATGCATGACTGTGTGTGGCTAGATGGCTTAAAAAACAGCAATTTTAGATTTCTTCAGATTTTCAATAACTCATGCTCAGAAACATAATTAAGTTTGGGAGGTGATACTCCCTTGCCAAAAGGCACGTCAGTAGGACATGTAGTAGCTGATGAACAGTTACAACTAGTGCTCCCAGCGTTAATCTCATTAAAATGACATTAATGTCATTTTAACGAGATTAACGCTGGGAGCACTAGTTACAACAATTAATATCTACCCAACAATCTGTCTGAGAAGTATCAGTAAAGTCTACTGTGAATGACCATGGCAGACCCGATGACATGAACGTGCTTTGCATCCTTTATTTACACACAAACACATAGAGATTTAGCTCTCCTGCTGCCAGCTCAACAATATCACAACAACTAACCATCACAGGACCCGTCAGCGGGGCATGATTGCAGATGCTGTGCAGGTGCATCTGCCTTCCTTGCATGGCACCGCAGGCCCCACCCCGCCACATACCCCCATCGCCCGACTGAGGCCGGGCAGACATCCGGCCGAACCTACTCCACCACCACGAGTGGGAGAGGGGATCAGCCCGGATCGTCGGTGCCCCTGGCCCCTGGCCAAGGGGTGTCAGTTCAGGTGGCCGCCCACGAACCCAGCGGCGCCGGCGAAGCTGGTCCGGAGGTCAGCCGCGTGGCAGGTGGACACGGCGCGGCTGGCACGGTCGTGAGCCCCAGCTAACAGGCGGCTGGGCAGATGTTCGGTGTACACCGGCCACTGGTTGGGGTGAGGCCGGTCTGGCGTGCACGTCCAATTGAGCATGCTCCCCTGGCACAGGGACCTCCATCTCCTCGCGCGGCCCCTCCGTCACCACCCCCGCTTCCGGCTGGCGGGGACCCTCGCATGCCTCCTCCACCACCAGCGATGGTGTAGCAAGTTCCTCCCACGCTGACCTCCAGCTCGGGCTGGGCAGGTGGGTGAGCTAGTGGTGGGCTCAGCAGTTGCTCCTTGTCCCTCCTCCGGAGAGCAGGAATGGGAGCTGGCCCCTGCCGGGCACAAGCTACTCCCACCCGAGGAGTGGGGAAGGGTGCGGTGACAGGCTGCGGACCGGCCACCCCAGAGGTGTCGGGGAGCACCTGTGGGGGTGGCGGCGGTGTCGGGCAGGACCGGATTACCACCGCCAGATCCTTCATTCTCTGCAGGTTCTGCTCTGTCTGGTCCTTCAGCTCTTTCTGCTGCCGGCGACACACCTCCCTCTGCATGGCTGCCAGCTCAGCCACCATTTGCACCATCTCCTCTCTCTGCTTGCCCAGTCCTGAGTCTGCCGAGCCTCCCGTCCTGGGTTTCGGCACCACTGTGAATGACCACAGCAGACCAGGTAACATGAACATGCTTTGCACCCTTTATTTACACACAAACACACAGAGCTGCAGCTCTCCCGCTGCCAGCTCAAAATTACCACAGCAACCAACCATCGCATGATCCAGCGCTATGCTTAAGTCGGCGGGTGTATCCGCCTTCCGTGCACGGCACCGCAGGCAACGCCACATCTACGCTTTAATCTTTAGAGTGCTGTTAGGGGCCCGACTATTTTACATGATCATAGTTCCCACTAAACAAAGTATCTGAAATTCCGTGGTGAATATTTCAGAATCTTTCCAACTTTATTGTTATTTGGCAATGAAAAACTTCTAGTATTTTGGTCTCAAACACTAAAACTCTCTAACACTAGTTGCTAAGCTTTATGTTGAAACAGTAAAGCAAGATCAAAACATTTTGCTGTCATGAAACCTGTTGTAATGCTAATACTAAATTCCAGATTCACATTGTTTATGTCAAAATCCCGATAGCTTACCAGGGAGAATATACTATATTTTTGCCTGGTCATGATACCAGTTGCCTGTTATAGCTGTGTTTAATGGCAACTAACTGGGCCGACAAAGGTCAGTGCAGCTCAGATGTGCCATATTCACAATGGAAGTCATTCGCTAAACCATCTGCATTGAATAATATCTATAATGTAAAGTTGCACACAATGGAATTGATTCATAGCAATGTGGCAACCAGAGGCCATAAGAAGTCCGTGACATTCAGTGACTTCAAGCGACTATGGCCAAAGTAACCACTGGCAAAGGGAAAAGGATGGGATCCAAGATAAACTTTTCTCATCTTCCAGGTGAGAAACTGAAGTATATAACAATGAAGAGTGAAGTCTATTGAGTTTGGAAAGAAAAGCTTCTGGACTTTCATCTAAGAAGCTTCTTCAACTCTAAGAACTGAAGGAGCTTCTTGGATGAGAGGTGAAACATCATCAACAAACTTAAAGAAGTCCAGACGCTTTTCTTTACAAGCTCCTTAGACTGCAGTGACCTGGATGACTGAGAGCCAACAGACAATGAATAGTGAAGAATATCTGTATTGTCATATGACCTGATAGTGAATAACAATAGAAGGTAACCTAGGCAACCAGTGGCCGGAACACTCACCAGCAACCAGCTGTAAGCTTCAAAGTAATGCGTGATGACCAAAATTGCTGTTTGATGACCAAACTTTTTTTTAGGTTGCACTCAAGTTTTAGAATTTTGTCTGCCTTCTTGTTCATAGAATGATACATTTTGTTATATCAGAATGTTGTTAATGCCCTTAAACATCTCACTAAATTCAAGATTTACTCATTTATTTATTTTAACCCTACGATCGTGACATCTTTTTTGCTTCTGAACCTGTTGTCATAATCTCAGGCATAATTATACCATTCTTTAGCCAAATGCTTCAGATATCTCATTCTAGTTTTCTCTTAAACAGTTGCTGGAATAGTTAAATGTTAGTAAGAACTCTGTGTTGGTGGTAGCTCCCTGCTGCAAACGCGATGTGTAGCATCTAGCAGGATGGCTACAATGCCAAAATGCTTCTCATTATTCTCAGTTTCTGGACAGATCTGCAGTATTGTTAAAAGCAGTGTAAAGGAGTCTACTTTGACAACGACCATATGAAAAAGGTTGATATTATTTACTGTTAAAGGTTCTCTGATAAAGCAACTTTTAAAGATCTGGACTCACAATTAGAGAGATGACTCAGTTTAAATAACTGAAACATTCCAGTAATATTAAGAGCTCTCTTCGAAATAGAGGACAGAACTACAAACCTATAATTACATGTGTTACTTGTTGAAATAGGCATCTAAGTATAGTTCTGGGTTTATGTCAAATCAACTGATAAAGGAAAACGACAACACCTTGGTCATCTCTGCTTTGAATTCTAGTTGTAATTTACCAGTCACACATTTTTTAAAACGGACTGTTTGATACTTATTGTACAGAGTTTAAGAATAATTTAAAAAAAAATCTTAGGGTTCTAGGGTTTTCTATCTGAGCATTATTTATGAACCAGCAGGAATCTGTGTTAGCATGGCTGATGCTAATGTGCCAGAAGTGGCTAACCAGCTAGCCTTTAGCTTAACATTCCTGTACTCTTGCTTTGTTGATGCAGTGTTGAGCAGAATACGTTAGAGTATTTAGTGCCTGATTACTGAATACCTCATCTTAAATGTAACATATAGGCTATTGAAAACAACAGAGAAATATAACATATTCCGAATTTTTCTAGAATACTCCGCCAGAAGAGCGGCTTTCATGTTAAACAGGTTATACTACAATCTTTTTTCCTATTACTTACAGACCATTAACATATATGATCATTTTATACTACTAAAATCAACATACTAAGATCTATTAGCAGGTTAATGGTTTACATGTATAACGTGGACCATATTAAAATATATAAAATCTTTACGGTTTCTACCAAACTTTAGGCAAAATGACGGGTTTGATTGTCTGCTTGTTAAGTAATCAGGTATTAAACCCTGTTTCCAGGTATCAAAGCTCAAGACATTGAACTTAGGACCACAGTTTTTCATACTAAGCAATCCAAAACATGCAGTAACACACTGATTATTATTCATGTGTAGTGGATGGTGTCATCTCTGACTTCTAGGCTGATGTTTTATCTGTGTCCAGTGTTTTCTGTCTTCCATATGAAGTTTATATCTGCCAGCAGCGCATCCTCTTACATTTTTATTGAGAACAATTTAAGCCACATCCTACATCCTCATCCCTGTGCTGATGTGTTGATATTAGCCTACCTATTGCTCTGTAGCCAGCTACAAAGGAGTAGATCATTATGTCAACTAACCCAACTTCAGTGACCCTCTATATGTTACTGCTAGTTTCCATAGCAGTCTTCATTTGCATCTAGAAGTGCTGTATGTTTATAGTTTTTCAGAAAGACATCAGTAAGAACATGGTATACAGTCTTTAAATGACAACTATCTCAGTGACTAAAGTCAGCTTACTGCTAACTCTGCCAAACCCCATAGATCACTGTTTTAATGGGTGCCTGGATAATAAATTATAACACCTGGAAAACACCACACTGATAATTTTATCGGAATCTGGACCTTAAAAAAACAAAAACAAAAATGAATAGTGTTCAGAAAGGACATTTGGACCTGGAGATGGCTGATGAGGTTAGGCTTAAAAAGCAGATATAAAAAATCATGACCATTATAATTATATTTACAATCTTATTGCCTTCTCTTGCTAAAGTCTAATGATTAATCAGTGCATAACACATACCAGAGAAAGTCTATGCCACCTAAAATGGCACAGATACTTAAGAAGTGTGACAGAGGCAAGACAGAAAACAACAAAAACAAAATGCTTTAGTTGAGATATTTGTCAAGATAAAATATTTGATAGAAGTTTGATTGAAGGACGGGAAAACCTAAAGCTACTATACAATCCTTTTGAATAGTAATAATAATAATAAAAAAGGAAAAGTACTGGTTCAGACTAAACAGTATCTTCTATAAACTGTCAATAATACTGAATATAAAGGCAATAAGTTCTGATGGAACAATAAAATTTAAGGTTTCATCAAAGGAAGAGGTATCTACCCATCTGTCTGTCTATCTATCTATCTGTGAAAGAGCTAAGACATCTCTTCCATTGCCAAAGCACATGCGTGAAAACAACAATACAATCATCAAATAAAACTTTATAATAATCTCTTTCCAGTCTTCAATTTTTTTTCTGCCATATACCTGCTTTTGCATAAATGTTACAGGTTTTTGTAAAAGACGGAGGTTTGGTTGGTGCAAACATATGTTCAGTGTTTTCTTTTTACTTTATTCTGTCGGTAAGTTCTGTGTCTGAAAACCTGATTTTTCTGAGTCTGCCTGTCGAATGTGTGTGAGCTGCATGCAACTGGACCGCTTCACGTCTGCTTTTTGAGATGGATTTTTTAAAAGTCAAAACATTCAAAAAGGGAAAAAGAGAAGGGGGAGATGTTCGTCCTGCTGGCTTTTGTCTTGCAGTGCAGTGAACCTAGGTTAACTCTGCTACTCTTCTGTTTTTTGTTGTTCAGTTATTGTACTCTTTGACCTGTTGAAAATTCATATGGCACTCTTCTTCAACTTACAAAGTGCTTTAAGACTTTTTGTATTTCTTTGAATGATGTTTTTATTTTTGCTTTTTTTGTTTCACTTCCACTGCGATTTGCCCTCTATGGCGACATGTATTCTAACCTCAATGAGGGACTTGTACAGTGTTACCCTCCATTTCCCCTGTTCACCTTGGTAAGAGTCAGACCTAGGCCACATTACCTACCTAAAGTCAGTTTCACCTCTCCAGTTGAGAGATCAGTCATGACACTCCAAACAAAAGCTGCAGGTCTCCAGTCTTTCCTCAGAGGTACAGCTGTTCTGAAAGGAGAAACACCGTCATTGTCTGGGGCTAAACTTGAGAAGCACCAGCTGGCAGATTCTAATATACTTTACATTTGGACTTCTGCTAAAAAAAGTCATTTTACATTAATTATGTATTAATAAGCAGGTTAATAACTTAAAAGAAAGCATTTGCGAAATTGTATAAGTATTATTGGTGTCTTGTGATAACTGGTTGGAGAAATTACAGGCTTAATTATTTTCTTGCTAACAGTAGCTTTAGAAGATTTAGGGGCTTCTCATAGCTGATGGTTTCCACCAGTGTACAGCAACAATGAACTAAAAAAATATGTTGTATAATTTAACAGTAAGATACAATAGTTAATATCACCTCCCACTTCATTATGGACATCTGTTTAACCTCTTGTTACCCATATATAAAATCAACCAATCACATGACAGCAAATCAGTGCCTTTATGCACTATGACTATGAATACTTAGATAATGCTGAGGGAAGAAACAATATTCACATGGCTTTGAATGTGGCATTGTTGCCACACAGGGATCTCCAGGGTTTTTAAAAATGGTCCAAAAAAAGACAAAATATCCAGTCAGTGGCAGTTCCCTGAGTGAAAATGTCTCGTTAAGGTCAAAGGTTGGAGCTGATAGGAACGCAACAGTAACAGTAACACTGTGCCATTCCTTTCAGCTAAGAGTGGGAGACCGAGATAGCAATTCACATAAGCTCACCAAAATTGGACAATAGAAGAGGGGAAAAACATTTCCTGATCTGATCAGTCTCAATATCCGCTGTGATATTTAGACAATAGGATCAGAATTTGACATAAACAAAGCATCTTGCCTTGTATTAACAGTTTAGGCTGGTGATAGAGTGATATAGTGTGGGATATTTTTTTGGCAAAGTTTGAGCTCTTTCTACTAGGTGAGCATCATTTAATGTGACTGCTTACCTGAGTATTGATGCTGACTGTCTTCTGATGGGTGATCAGAGTTCATTGTATTCAAATGGTTCCCCACAGTTACCAGATCTCAATTTAATAGAGCATCTTGGGTGGAAGACGAGAGTCACATCATGGGGGCGTAACTGACAAATCTGCAGCAACTGTGCAATGCTTTCTTTTTATATGCACCCAAATAAATGAGGAATGTTCACAGAACCTCGTTGAATCTATGCCATGAAGAATTAATGCAGCTCTCAAGGCAAAGGTGGGTCCAACCCAGTACGGTAGTAGCAAAGTGTACTTAATAAAGTGACCAGTGAGCAAATATACTCTCTGTGCTTCAGAATTAGTGTTGGAGTGATGTGAAACCCCTGAAGCTACAGCCAGTTATCTCGGAGAAATAAAGAATTGATTGTCTTGCTTGGCTCAAAGATGGCAGCATACACCAATAAACTGGGCTTGATTGATCTATACTTGATTGATCAACAGATTAGGATTTGAGGTGTAGAGTGTCCACTTGCAAAAAAAATAAAATAATGTAAGCTACTTTCCTTTGTGCACCAAGGATGACAGTATATTTAAATAAAAATTGGTGTTTTATTTTTAACTCAAGCTGTTTTTTGCTTTTTTGAGGCTCCACCTGTGAGGTTTAACTCAAGCAGAAGGATTTCTCCCAAGGGAGCGGGTCTGCCTCTGAGAGCTGACCTGCTTCAAAGAAACATTTGCAAAACTAAATCTAATCTCTGCACCATGATTTTTGGGGTGTAATAATGTGGCCGGGGTCTGAACTGTGGCTGTGTTACATAATCATACTTTATGCCTTGTGGCTGTATGAAATGGCCCTATGACTTTGGAACCTGCTGTCCTCTGGTGAGCTACTTGTGTGTATGTTAATATATACACACCTTGTTGGTATTTATTTATTTATATATGTATTGTATGTATTGATTTGGTTATTTATTAATTTATTTATTCCTGTGTCCTATTTAATGGTTAGGCACCTGTGACATATTTGACGGTCGTCAATACATTGGTGTATGGTGTAGAGTATGGGAGGGGTAGTGATTGGGGGGAGGATGAAGGGGTATTTTGGGGGGGTTGGGGGTGGGGTTGGTCAATGGAAAAAATCTAGCTGTGATACTAACTCTAACTGTTGCTCTCCTTGTATTGGACAATGATATAATCTAAGACCACTGTATGTATAACTGCTTGTCGTGAAGATGAACTACAATGTAATGACAATAAAGATTAACACTATGATGACACGGCGCAAACAAGGCTCCAATCTGTTCTTCACAATGAGTCGATAAACGGAGGGATCAGACAAAGAGCTACAGCACCACTGACTGCACAAAAGTGGAACTGCATCAACAACCAGCAATGATTGCTAGTTTTAAAATCCTTCCTGTAATTTCATATTGGAAATGTTTCGGTTTGAGTCTATAGCACATAATTTGCAGGTCAAAGAAAAAAATGAATTCATGAGCAAACAGTTTTAATCTGCATTTTAATCACATTTTCTCAAAATTACTGTTAATATATTATGTTGTAAGTTAAAAATGATAACCACAATGATACATTAAGCTACAACAACGATAATAATAATAATAATAATAATAATAATAATAATAACAATAATAATAACAATAAATATAAATAAGTGAAGGCTATAGTGTGTAGTGAAAATGTCAAAGTCATAGTGAAAGTGAATTATCTCACATGCCAGACATTTTTTGCTAGTGATAAGCAATTCTTCATTATCGTTTATATTAATGTGGAAATAAATGAGATATGATTTTTCTTTTAGAGTTAAGTTACTGCACGTGGTCGACTTTTTATATCTGTGTAATGATTCCAAATGACAGTATAGTGGCGCTGTAGAGTATTGTTTCCCTACTGCTGCCGTTTCCCTCCATTTACAAATCAATATCTGATATGTTCAAGATCACCTCAGAAACTCGAAATTTACATACTCAAGCTGAAAAAACTCAAACTGTCTATATCACAGGAAAATTGGTGAATTTACATAGCATCTAGTAAGGTTTAAGGAATCCAGCAGTCTTGAATCAGTTTTATTATCACTGTTTAAAAATACTGTCCGCAATTAAATGTTTTGGCCTATTTGTATTAATTTTTAGTCATTTTCTGTGCGAAGGCTAAATATCTGATTTATAACTCAGGCATTCAATGCACCATACGGCTTGACCCACTTTTCCACATGCGCCACTGGAGCGTTCCGAGCATGCGTCAAGCTAAAGCGAGTACACTAGAACCTAAAGGAGGTTTCGTGTGTTCCCGCTAAAATGAGATGAAACGTAGAACTCTCACACGCGCTGGATAATCTCAAGACGAAATAAGTGCATATACGTGGATGAATTATAGAGTGCATGGCCTGAAGGTAAAGTGTGCGAACCTCTGGGCGGAATAAGCCATGTTTCTACTTCCGCTATACCACGTAACCACAACTTTATTTTGAAAGCCGTTCCCGGAAATGACGAGTATCTATTGTGGCTAGCTTCACTCCGGTTCCGCGTGTTGATGCTGAACAGAGGACGAGAGAGAAAACAAGCTTTCCATAACGTAAAGAACCAAAGCCAGGAAAAACCGGAGGAAAATGGACATGAAGAAGAGGGTCTCCTTAGAGTTGAGGCACCGGTCGCCCTCGGAGGTGAGTCTCTCGGGTTGTGTGCTTCTTTATTGGAATTGATCTGCTGTAGACCGGCAGGAGGAGGGGTGGCGAGCACATGGCAGCGTGTCTGCAGCTTGAGGGGGAAAAAGTGATTAAAAAACAGCATATCTTAAAAAAGCAAGTTTAGATCTAAGCTAACACAAAGTCTGCGAAATTCTTGAATTAGCTGCTTCCCTTCAACTAAGTAGCTGTTATCGCCGCTCGCAAACAGCGCAGTCACGCAGTTGTTTACCACGTTGTTTTCATTTTATGCCCACGCATTTCTCGTTTTATTCATATTACTGATGCTCTTGAAAGTTATTAAAATTTAAATGAAAATCCCCACGCATGAAAATTAACTTAAAACCGCCTGCTTATCGGGAAATAAAAATATAATCGACGTCTTTCGGGCCTGGCTAATTCTAGAATTTCATTTATTTCGAAGTCGATAGATGGCATTTTAATTCTAAACCCCCCCATTGCGTATTAACATTTTATTTACTTGTTAATATTTTGTTAAAAATATTTTTCTGCAACTCACCGAGTCACTTTTTAAAAATAACTGTTTACGAAAACGCGTTTCCAGAGATTAGTCGGATCCAGCGAGCATAAACGCGCTAAGGGCGCGTAGCCAGCGGCGTGCTAGCGCTACTTTTATAAAGTGGCTGAGTCGTTGTGGCCCGAATTTACGACACTCGTTTACTCATATCATTTCTCATAGAACCACCGTAATGAGAGACATTTTCCGCCGCAGTACCTTATCATTTTGGGTCGATAAGTGAGGGCTCCGCAGAGCGGAGGGGCTGGTAATAACACGCAGCTAGCAACAGAGCTAACTAGCAGCGTCACGTGTTGCTACGAGTTTACAAACAGAGCCTCGGTTGGGCCCCGTTCCAACATGAAACCGCACAGGCGTCCTCTGTAGGATCCTAGTTTGTTTTTCTTTTGAAAACAACTGAAAATGACGAGATTTACAACAAATAAACTGATATACACCTAAAGTGTTTTGGTGGTTTTTGAAAATAACATATTGTATGTAATGCTGTTGTATTTCAAACATTACAAAAGGTTTAAATACTGAGGGCAATGTATGTAAAGGTAATCTCTGAGCTCAATGCTCAGGTATTAGGCAGTGTCTCTCTCTCTTTCTTATTTTTTTCTCTCCTTTTGGCTGTCCCCAATCTCCCTACTGTGGCCATTTCAGAAGTTTTTGAACCAATAAAAATCATGGAAAGCTACTCTTGGAGTTGGTGTAATGTTTAATTGGGCTAATGTGGTTGGAGTGATAGGTTCAAGAGTGAAAGGGAATGTTTACTAGATTGTCGTGAGAACTGCTGCAATGTATGGTTTAAAGATGGTGGCACGGTCAAAAAGACAGTAGGCAGAGCTGAAGATGTTACGGTTTCTGTTTTGAGTGAGCAGGTTAGGACAAAATTAGAAATGAGAACACAAGAGGGACAGTTCGGTTTGGAAGACAAAGTTGGAAAGCCAGTTGGAGGCTGAGATGGTTTGGTCATGTGAGGAGGAGCAATGGTGGATATACTGGACAAAGGGTGATAAACATGGAGCTGGCAGGCAGGAGGAAAGGAGGAAGACCACAGAGGAGGATGCAAAGTATAGGGTGATCAGTTATCAAGTTATTCCAGATTTCCAGCTGAAGCAAAATTCAGGTATGAGGTGGACACTTTAAGGTTTTGCTGTGGTGCCCACTAAAGGCAGCACTCAGAGAAAGGAAAACATTTTTTGAAGTTTTGTCCACATTATTCAAATGAGTGAAAATTATTAACTGATTATGCTTTTTGTACATTTTAAATCTGGCTGAAAATAAATGTCACTACTACGACCGGAATACTAGCACATTAATTAATTAAGCCATTGCATATTTTTAATACAGACCACTATTTAATACTAAAAAGCTGCCGTATGTTATTGCCCTCTGGTGGTGACTAAAAATACTGCATCTTATAGACCGGAACTTCATCCATCTTTTATAGGTGTCTGTGGGTATGCAGTGTTTTTCGAACTCTGTTTTAGGTGCATATAGACTGAAAAACTGATTGAATGAATCATCAGTTTGAGGTGAAGGGACGTCTTTTTTTTTTTTTTTTTTTTTTTGCATGTTTTCCACATGACCCCAAGTACTGCAAGCCAGTAAATGGGTAACTTGTGTCAGTTTAACATTCTGCAAAAGTCCTCCTGTTTATACGTAGGGGATGATTGGGTTTTATTACAAGGGAGGCGCTGTGATCATACAATGAAACACTGACATGTTTCAACGAAAACGCCGTGGAAACTCCCGTGTTCTCGCGCTGCTTCTGTGGGTAACCACGCTTTCTATTTGAAGTCACCTTACCCGTTAGGCAGTGCTCAGTACAAGGAAAATGAATTAGTCACATTGACCTCGCTATTTAATCAAACCATCAAGTGAGTCATTTGAGGTTGCAGATTTGTTTCATGTCACCAGCTGACAACGAGATTACAGCGGCAGCTCGACTGATTTTTGCAGATTCTTCATCCACATGTAAACGCAGAAGTGGAGTTTCTGAAGAACTTAAACTTGGGAGAGTTTCGGTGATCTAAAAAGTTGTTTACATGTGAACGAAGGATCAAAACACACAGGGGAAAAAAACAAAACATAAACTAGGGCTGGGCAATATGGCCTAAAATCCATATCAAGATATAATTTAAAGCAGCGGTCCCCAACCCCCGGGCCTCGGACCGGTCCGTGAGTCGTTTGGTACCGGGCCGCAAGAGTTGAGGCTCGGTGTGAAATGTATGGTTTTCAGGGTTTTTATCGGTTTTCAGCGTTATTTTGTTATTGTTTTTATCGTTAACTCTGTATTCCTGGGTCTTTTCACGTGTGTTATGAATAAATTTTCTTTTTTTTCGGTAACGGTGCTAGTTTTATTTTGTTGTATTTATCCACGACACCTTAAAGGCCGGTCCGTGAAAATATTGTCGGGCATAAACCGCTCCAGTTGGAGACAGCTGATTTAAAGCATGTGCGGTAACGATATATATCGCAATACGTTCTTTTCTTCTGTATAACGTATTTTACACACTATAAGGCACGCTTAAAATCCTTTCATTTTCTCAAAAATCAACAGTGTGGATTGTGTATGAATTCCGGTTGTGCTCACTGACCTCGAACTGATTTTATGTGGTACATGGCACTCAGAAATCTGTCAAAAATGTTTTAGTACGACTTTGGTAAGCTACGAAGCTGCACCGCTTGATGGATTGTTGGAGCATTACGGCTGCTGTAGTCAGGAGCCTCGCGGAGTAATCTGGGTCCTAAACTCCTTGTGGTTCAGGTCCCAAAATCAAACGATCACTGCAGCATCACTGAGAGTTGAAAAACTCTAAATTCTTTCATCTGTAATAAAATGATCAGCGTTCTGCTCTACCAGGTGTAACAATTAAGTTTAACATCCAGGCATCCAGAAGTTAGCTCACTAGTTTTCCACCTAAACACAATATAGCATGTTCTGACTGAGAGATTTCTAAACAAATTTAAAAAGTACAGCTCTGCTATCACTTCCAACATAAATGAAGACAGAAAACTAAACAGCAGTGACGTTTGTAGGGTTACTGAAG